CAAATAGAAGAAACTAAGCAAGAATGATGGTCAAATCTCTGTGGCAAAAACATAACAAAAGATAAAAGAAAGGGAAGGTGGAAAGATACTGTAATAAAGGAATCAGAACAGTGCTTGGCACATAGTAAGTCCTCAATAAACATTGACTATCAGTATTATTTGTTGGAGTAACATCAATCATCGTGAATAGCCTTGGCAAAGTTTGGAAAAGAGCATGGCTATGTAGTCCAACTAATAGTAAGACTGAAATTTCCATTTTAATCTTAAAGTATTCACCTTAAACATTTTTAAAAATTCAAGCTTTTCCCCCAAAATCTAAAGACAATCCATGCCTAAATAGTCTATTTAAAAGATAAATTTCAAAATGAAATGCAGCTTTTTCTCTTCTTTAAAGAGGTTTCCACTCAAGTATATTAAATTATTTATGATTGTCAAATCTTCTTTTAGCTTTAAAATTGACTAGCTACAGAGCCAAACACGAGAAAACTGAGAAAGGCCATTCATTCTGAAATACACTCACAATTGGATTCATTCTTAAAAAAATCTTTGGACTATTTTCCAAAGGCCATACATATTAACCCTAGATTAAAAAGACAGTTTTAGTTATCAATTTTCAAAATCTCAAACAATTCAAAAGGATAAAAATGAAAAGATTCACTCCCCTTCCCCACAAGAACCCAACTCTTCTCTTTCTCTCCCCCATGTATCAACATATGTATTTATTTATAGATCTATATGTATATTTCACTTTATAAAATAAATTATCTATGTCTTCGGCCTTGTTCAAAGATGGATTTACTGAAAAACTAATGATACTTAAGCTTCAGGGCCCTTCATTTGCTAAGATCTTTCCCAGGCCCTCTATCTAACTATATCCGCAACTTCATATTCTTTTCCTTAAAGAGGCCCCTTCAAAATGTATAAGCTTCATGCCCCACAGAAGTTGATCTGCCCCTAGTAGCTACTTCCCACTCTATCCACTACTTTATCCCTTCAAATCCTCCACTCTTCAAAGTCAAGTTCAAATCCTGCCACAGGAAGCCTTGCATGATTGCTCCAACTAAGACTGACCTTCCCTTCTCTAAGTTTCCACTGCATTTGTTCACTAGACAACTTCAAAATCCTTTTGCCAAAACCCTCCAGATTGGTTGAGTTTGGAATTTAAAATTTTTTGTATCTTATAGTGCATTATATACATTATGTAATATATATATATATAATATATATTATGTAATGGTGTGTAAATAGTGCATCATGTAACTCTATCCATCAGGGTCCAAGATAACACCTCATAATCAAATATATTAATACATCTTCATCAAAATACATGAATATTCACACCAAGTGAAACAAAGCTATAAGTTACCTCACTCCAGTGTGGGTCATAACTGGTACTAACTGAGTTATAATACAATTTTCAATTTTCAGAGATTTTGGATTTCTGAATTATGGCTAAAGGATTTGATACCTGAACATTATTGTGTCATTATTTCATATCTCACCACTTAAGTTTTAGTTGACAAAAATGGCTCTTCCCCACTATGTCCCCAGTGATGTGTCTAGTAGATAGTGGGTGTTCAAAAATTTGATAGAATGAATGAATGAAAGAACTAAGTCTTATATTAGGTTGAGCTTGTCAAGGAAAAGGATTGTGTCCTTTTTAGTCAACATCCCCAGCACCAAGGCCAGTGCCTGGCACATGGTGAACACTCAGGAAATGCTGGGTCAGTTGAATCACCTCAAATCTCTCACAAAGACTACCTAAAATATAAGTGCCCAATAAACACTTTACAACTGATCCCAATATCACTGACTTACAAAATGAGATTGATTGTCATAGGAGAAGGAAAAGACCAGGTGAGGAGTATAGAGGAAGCAGTAGGAGAAGGAGCCTAGGCCTGGCAACAAACTTGTAGAAAAGTATTGATGCAGGGATTCATATTTCACAAAGACCTTGGACCATGCAAGACGGATGCCATATACCTTAAGAATTCTGGAGCGTTTTTCTTAATGTCAAGTCTTCCCCTGACAACAACCTCTTTCCTGGGTCCCTACATGACTTAGAATCCTTGACATCATATTTACAGTTACAAAAACATTGCCTTATTCTGCCCCTTGTCTGGTAGTTTCAGACTTACATAGAGAGTTGGGCTAAAAGATCACATGTGACAGTAGATATTGCTAACTGACATTCTGTACTCTAAACTGAACTTTTCTAAATTGGAGGTTCTAAATGGAATGGTTTGTTAATTTATCAACACATACAGTTTTTGGGGGGTTTTTGCTGAGGAAGATTCACCCTGAGCTAACATCTGTTGCCAACATTCCTCTTGTTTTTTTTTTTGCTTCAGGAAGATTAGCCCTGAGCTAACATCTGTGCCAATCTTCCTCTGTTTTGTATGTGGGTCGCCAACACAGCATGGCTGATGGGTTTGTGTAGGTCTGCACCCAGGATCCAAACCCGTGATCCTGGGCTGCCAAAGCAGAGCATGCCAAACTTAACCACTATTCCACAGGGCCAGCCCCACATACATTATTTTTTAATACAGAACGTCTGCGAGCATGGATGTTCGGGCAAATTGCTTTGTCTCTCTGTGTTTCAGTTTTCTCATCAGTAAATGGAATACTACTACTTACCTCGTAGTGCTGTGATGAAGGTAAAGAATAAAGTATACAGGGCCAGCCCTGATGATCTAGTGGTTAAAGTTTGGTGCTCTCACCACTTCGGCAGCCTGGGCTCACTTCCCGGTCACAGAACCATACCACCTGTCTGTCAGTTGCGATGCTGTGGTGGTGGTTCAGATAGAAGAACTAGAAAGACTTACAACTTGGATATACAACCATGCACCAGGGCTTTAGGGAGGAAAAGAGAAAAAGAATATAGTATACAAAAGCTTCTCAGAGAGGAGCTCATTCCCCAAAATGAGGAAAAATAACCAGAGATATCTCAATACATTCTTCCAAGGAAGAATGGGTTCCCGGAGGTGTTTATTGAGGGCTACTTTCTTTATCTCTGATTCTTTCTTCCTTTGTTTGAAAAGGAATCCTTATTTTGAACCCTACAAGTTTACATGAATTCTGGTATATTTAGAATAGAGTTTTGAGCAATGGTTTCTCAAGTGTGTTCCACAGGACACTAGGGCTGCAAGATGTTGATAAGTGTTGCTTAAAAAAAATACATATATGTGTATACACACACATGTATCAGGGTTCCCTAGTTAAATAAAATTGGGAAACGCTAGGTTAAACAGAATTTATCAGGGTTTTTTATTGTGGAATTTCTCGGGATATTTCATATGTTGCTATGACTCTATGAAAGGGAGCATGCTGGGCCACATGTCTCAGACATATTTATCTATAGACTCTCCACCTCACAAAGCATCTTTCTAATTCCAGTCTTCCATGGAATACAGGTCGGGAAACTGCTTTAGAATATGGTGTACCACATATTTTACATCTTTTGCTTGTGTCTCCTCTCTTAATTCTGAACATAATTGCTCCTTCTGTATTGCTTTTTTAGTGAATTCACTATTTTGCACTTCCACGGGTGAAAGAATCCATTTACTATATCAAAAATATTTCCTACTCCTGAAATTGACCATTACAAAATTTTGGTTAATTGTTTTAGAATCACTTAAAGCAATGATTTCTTGATCTGAAAAATAAAAAGAAATCAGTTGCACTAACTTATAATTAAATAGCACATTAAAATATCCCAGAATCAAAATTTTACATAAAACCCATGAGTTTGCCCACATACTCCTCTTCAACCAAATGGCATGAAGTTGAACTTATGGTTTTCATAGGAGCTCTGGTGAGCAGATGTCATTATACCCTCGGGAAACCATAGCAACCAGCATTGACAATCTGTACACTCTCTTATAATAAAGTTATGTTAATAAATAAATAATAAAAATAAAAGCATATTTATTATAAAATCATATTACCTGGAACAAGGAAAACTCTAAAGTTTGGGGATACCTTTTTTCTTTAAAGTGGGTTACTCCTAGGGAATGCTAATATTCAAAGAAATCAAATCATTCTCAAAGGACTAAACATGTTAAGTTTAACTACTAAGTTTATCTGCTCCTACATGTTAAGCAGTTACTGGTTATAATATTTCATTGTTATTGAAACTTTAAGATTTAAATTTGGACTTAAGACTTGATGATAAGTCTTAAATAGGCATACTATATATATATTAATTGAATTGAAGGGGAAAAAAATGCAGTAGGTTTTTACAAACTCCATGTATCAAACTCTGCATCCAAGCTTGTGGGAAAATTGCAAAGAACTTGAGGGTAAAACTGTATATGGATGTATAGCTCACATTGATTTGTGTTTCTCTCTCAATGTTGGAAAAAAATACTATATTAAGAAAAAATTAAACTCATAAAATCATTTGACAAAGTTAGTCTCTGCGATGCATCAGAGTGAAAAGCTGCTATACTTAAGTTAACAAAACTAAAAAATATTGCCCAAAATGGTCAGTTTGTTAAAATGTTCCCTAGGCTGCTCTACTGTTTTCTATTACAAACCAGAAAATTCAGTATCTCTTTTGCATTAAACTTAGTTCCACGTGTTTCAGGGCCTCAAAGGGAGACCCAGCTTCAGGTTTCTGACATAAAAACCTTAATATAACCTGAAGAATTCCCCTAGGCATATCGGGAGTAATCAAATTTCATGTTAACTATTAAATTACAGACATTCAATTATGTTTTCCAAACCTCTGTTTAGAAATTCAAAAGGTCCTTAGAAAACATCCTTAAACCAAAGCCCAAGTTGGCAAGTGAAACCGTTTACCTGCGACAGCAAAACAAAGAGGGGTCATCGCCATCCCTGCAGGCACATTGGGAAGTGGCACGCGATGTACCCCATCCCCATTGTGAGGCACAAATTCTTTGTGACACTGGGAGACACCGCAGAACAAAAATACTATTAGAAATGCTTCAAAAGGAACATTTTTGGCTGCGATAGAGACTTTTGACATTATTTATTAGGTTCAAAACTGCTTCACAAAAGCCTAACAATGGTTCTGTGGAAACCAGTACATCTGAGGCCCTTTCTGTTGTTCTGGGCAGGCATTGATTTGAAGATGGGCAGCGCTCGCCGAACAATTCCCTCGCAGCGGTCAACGTAAGTGAGCATTCACCCCCGGCCTAGGAGGGGCCTGTGAACAAACCGTATGGAAACGCCAGGGTGGGCGGGAGTGGGGAGAAGAGCAAACCTTGATTAACCTCTTCGAGGGGAGATGGGTGGGAGCACCGGCAAACTGAGGAAGGGGAGCTCCTGCCAGATTGCCGTGGAGGGAGGCGTCCGCCCTGGGCCCCCTTTTCCCCAGGGGATGAGGATGCTTGGGGAGCATCTCCGATGCCATGGCAACTGCGCTTCTTACGACTGGATTTCCGGGCGCGCCCTGGAGCTGGCTTTGGAAATCTGGGTTTGCCAGAGCGCCGGCTGTGGCTGCCGTCCTCTCCTCTAGCTTGGGCTCTGAGGAACTCCGGGACACCCTCGACGCCGCCGAAGGGGTCTGGCTTTTCCCGCAGAGGCCGGCGGCAGTGTAAGGTCTCGGAGCGGGACCTGGAAGGCAGAGAAGGGCAGAAGTGGCACTCAAGCATGCAGAATTTACCCGCCCCGCTGGGACTTTAAAAAAACCTCTCCTGATAGCTGGATGTTTGAGACATCAATGTTTGTAATGTGCTGAGAGAAAAAATTTAAAAATCCCCTGAAGTTATCCTCACGTGCTTCCCCACGTTTCTTTAAGAAAGTAAACTGCTATCTATTCCTTTCCTGTTGTATGCAAGCACCTTCCCAAAAAATAATTTTTACAGAATCCTCACAAAACTTTTAATTTCAAGGAAAACTGTTTAAAACTTCTAAAGAGAGGGAAACAGAAGAATTGGTGACTAAAATAGGGCCTCAAATTCTAAATTTGGGGAAAGTTTGTGAATGGAAAATTAAGTAGAGTTAGATATCAGGCAAAAAAAGAAAAAAAAGGATCCACAGTCCATTTGGATTTACGACTGATAATTTAAAAATCCAAGAGGCAATTATTACATGAGTTTTCTTAGAAATTTCAAACCAACTGAAAATTAAAAACAATCAGTGAATTAATCTGATCCTGGGTCTACACTATACATACATACATACTAATAACGGATTTGATTTTTTTCTATTTTTGCCCAACTAAATCATATTTTCATATAAAAGATGAGGTATTTTTTATAACAATGCAGCCAATACTATAAAAGAATATATATATATATTCCCCCTGCATTTCCAAATATATATATACATATATATAGTACATATATATATATATCATATATATACAATCTTGAAGTTTTTACCTGAGAAATTCTGCCCATTGACTATGCAAATAAAAGTTTAATTCTTCTGTAGTGAGTTAGGACAACTAACATGCTTTATATCACTTTCTACAAGTTCTGAAAGGGCTTTGAAGAGCATGTAAATGTCTGGAATATTTGGAACAACTTACAGGATAATTCGCAAATTCAAAAAATATGTAAAAGATTTACAATGCACATTACCTTCCTAACAATGGGCATGAAACAGCCACTCTATCACTAGGTAATTCAATTTAGCGCATCACATATTGTTCTACGTCCAGTAGGTATTGGGCATCTCCCACTACACACCAACACACCCAAGTCAAACAGTGAGAAACTTCTAGTGAATCTGACTTTGCAATGTGAGAATCATTTCCTGGAAATAAAGGTGGAATGGCATTTCTATATCTCCAGGTAAATAAAAGCTTTCAGAGAGCCGTGCGCATTGCTTTGTGAAAACTAGATGCTTAATAGCTGTTTGTTGATTTGGATTTCCAGCCTTGGCAGATGACCCATTCATTGTCAAGCAATAATCAGTGCAAGAAGATTCCACCAGTGAACGTGATGTGGCTCTGTAATTTGGAGCAACAGAATATGACCTAGACAGAATATGCTGTCTTCTATCTTGAGCCAAAGAATAGAAATTCCTTCCCTGAATGCAATTCAATATTGATGCATTTTGTAACACACTATCTTAGTGGGGCGTAATGGTGTAATGCAATAAATAAGGCTTTGGGTTCAGACCATCATAGATTTAAATCCTAGCCTAGGCCTCTTTGTCCTTACTTGAAACATGAGGATTGTATTACCTACTTCACAGGGTTGCTAGTGGGATTAAATCTGTTCATTCATTTATTCGTTCATTAATATTTGAATGTCTATTATGTGCCTGGCAGTGTTCTAGACATTGGAGATTTAGAAAGGAATAAAGCAAGCAGTAGCCCTGCCCATATAGAGCTTACGGTCTGGTTGTGGGGAGATGGAGGGGGGATGGGGAGCAGACTAATAGATAAGAAAATAAAGAAATGTATAAGTGTCAGCTGGTAATAAACCCTAAGGAGAAAAATAAAGCAGGAAGAAGCTTAGGAAAGACCCACTCATGTAGGCGACATTTCAGTAAAGACCTGAAGGAAATGAAAAAGCAAACTAGTTAAGCGTCTGTGGGCAGAGCGTGATAAAATGTAAAGCATCTAGTGCACAGTAAGTGCTCAATACCCAGGAGCTCTTATTGTCATATTTCGAATCTTAATATAGAAATGCTCTGACCTGGAGTCAGAATGGAGGCTGGAATCCTGGCTCCAGCCCTAAAGTTACAGAATCTCCATGGGCCTCCGATTCTGCATCTAAACCATGGGAGAATACCAGTTCCTATCTCAGAGGGTTGCCATATGGACCAAAAGTGAAGATGTGTGTTTAAATTTTAGCCCATTGCCATTTACATTAAGACTCAAAAAATGTTACCAACCAGGGTCCTCAGCATCCCATCATCAAGTCCTGCCTCCCAGAAATGAAGGCATCTCTGAATCAGCATCTTTGGCAGATGGTCTCACAGCCCCTGCTTAGGCACTTCTAGCCCAAGCAGTACATTCTCCTCTAGTCCAAAGAAAGTTCTCCTTTGTACTGAGTCAAAATCTGTCCCTTCTATTGGTCAATTCCAAGAACTGTGCAAACATTGAGAGTGAAATCTACCAAAAAAATTTCCTGGAAAAAGCCTACATAAAGTCAATCTAATCCTCTTCTACATGACAACTCCTGGAATATTTGGAATATACATTGTTTCCTTACGTTTTCTTGCCTCCACTCTAAACAACAGCACCATAAATACCACCACCATCATCACCACCGCCATTCAGTGCCCACTATTTTCGGGGAACTTTATTTATATCAATCCTCTAATTACAACGTCTCTTCAAGGTAGTAATTGTCATTAGTTTACAGATTAAAAACCTGGGCTCAAAGCACATTTACAGGACTCGATCATGGCTACAGAGCTGAAACAGAAGAAAGCGGAGATTTGAGCCCAGGTCTCCCTGATTTCAAAGCTCATTCCTTCTGGTCCATCTCCTTACTTTTAATCATTCCTCCTATTATGCAATTTTGAGACACTTTATTATCATATACATTATCCTGTGCTATGAATTCACAGCTTCCTTATCGTAAAATAGGGATAATAACGTTATCTGCCTAAGAGTGTTATATGAGTATTTCATAAAATAATGTAAATGCTCAGCACTGTATCTGGCACATAGTAAGAGCTTAATAAGTAGAGGCTGGAATGATAATAATAATTTTCATTATCATTATTATCTGGTGCAATACCTGAATCATCAAATTGCTTATCATCAACTCACACTTGTTCTCTTCTCCAATACGATACTTGGCCACAAGTAAACTTCCACTAAGGACTGACTGATACGGTTCTTATAGAACCTTCTAGAATAAGACATTGGAATCAATAACTTTGCTGTTTACGTTGAAGTTAAAAATAAAATGTGACCAACTGAAAAGAGAAAGAAAGAGTTAGGAACCACAAAAAGATACTTACCAGGTGAGACAGAATCTCCCTTGGAGATGCAAGAGGGCTTGTTCTGAAGTCTCACGTGTCTATTGATGTGTGTGCCTGTAGCCTCCAAGTACAGGGGATTTACTGAGTGGAGTTGAATAGACTTTTTTGTCATTTGCTGTTCCAAAAATAGACTGCTCCAGACTTGCTTAGGTGCTTCTCTGTCTCTCTTATTAATTTCTCGTCTGGCAGGGAAGATCAATGGGGTCTGGTCCCATTCACTCAATGGTGTTGGGGAGGGGCTGGCTTCTCTGTAGCTTTCTTCTTCGGAAGAAGCTGTACTTACAGCAGGAGATCTGGGGATAATGTACTGACGAGTACAAAGCTGTTTCTTACATGCCATTGGAGTGTGAATCTTTTCTGGAAATACTGTAAAAAGTAAACACATCAGTTTGAAAGAATGCACTTCAATATCACCTACTAAATTAATGGTGAAAAGGATGAAATCAGGCAATATATGAATTTTTTGTTTGTTTCATATTTCTATCCAGAGCACAGAGAAGTGACAAAAAGGCCAAGGACCTGGGTGCCTGAGTGGGAGATGTAGAGGAGGTACAAGATGTGGAAAAAGACATAAAAGGGTGAAAATGTTTTTGTTGAGTTCAAGCTGTGTTGCAGGCACTGTGTGAGGGCCTGGACGTGTTGATCATTTAATTCTCACAAGAACTGTATCTAACAGATACTATTATTATCTCCATTTTACAGGTCAGAAAGCTAATTTGAGGCTTATGGGTTGAATTGTGTCCCCCAAGAAGATATGTTGAAGTCTTAACCCTCTGCACCTATGAATGTGACCTTATTTGGAAATATGGTCTTTGCAGATGCAATCAAGTTAAGACGAGGTTGTCAGAGTGAGCCCTTAATCCAATATGGCTAGTGTCCTTATAAGAAGAAAAAAACAGACATAGATACACAGGAAGAATGCCATGTAATGATGAAGGCAGAGATTGGAGTGATGTATCTATAAGCCAAGGTATGCCAAGGATTACAGCAACCACTGGAAGCTAAGAGAAAGGCAAGGAATGGATTCTCCCTCAGAACCTCCAGAAGGGACTAGTCTTGCTGACATCTGAATTTCTGACTTCTGGCCTCCAGAACTGTGAAAAAATAATTTTATCTTAAGCCCTCCAGTTTGCGGTTCTTTGTTACAGCAGTCCTAGGAAACTAATATACCCACAATAGTTTCAACATACACATGTTGTTTTAGAATAATTATTAACAACAGCACGTTTCACCGCCCAAAAATTGTTCAGATTTGGGGCAGAGAAAGAAGAAAAACCAGGAGGTGGAAAAGTGTGGAATGAGAGGAGGAAGGGAGTGGATTTCCTGAGTTCTGTGTGGCAGAAACTGTGCCAGGATGAAACAACTCTTAACAAAACTCATATTCCCTGTTCTCAAGGTGCAGTCAAGTGGCAAAGAGGATGGTGATCATGTTAGGTACCAACTAAGCACAACCTCTTCCTACACCACAACTTTGTCTGCAGAAGAAAGAATCAAGGTAAATGTCTCCAGGGGCCCTACAGGTAATAGAAACGAGAAAAGGGGCAAAGTAGGGGTACCCTAGGAGTATATGTCCCATCAACAGGGTCCAGCCACTTCTCAGACCTTGTCTTTTATTGCCATGAGGGAATGTGGGCCCAATGAGGACAGATTTTACTGGATTTTCAGGAGAAGCAGAAATATATATTTTTATGTGTAAAGTCTCCTGATTTTTAAATGTTAGTAACTCACTCAATTTTTTTTAATACAGTGTGGGCTACACAAAACACATCTGCTCTCTGAATCACCATAGGCCACCAGTTTGCATCTTTGGGCTGTGGCCAGCCTTATGAAAGTCACACTGTCACTTACCTCCTTTTATACCATCCTCATCTTAGAACATGATTTTATAAATATTCATCCTGGAATAGTGGAAAGGCATTTGCAAGCTCTGTGTATAAGCAGATTTTAGAGTTCTTGAAGTCTCATCTACCTCCAACACTTTAGGAAGATTGAGCTTTTATTTTCATTTTAATTGACTGCCCCATTTCATCTTAAAGCCCAGAATTTAAAATGGCAGACCAATTTTTCAGGCTTTCCCAAATGCAGGGAGACATCTAAAATCTTTCAAAACAGGAGCTCTGGGACTCTTGATCCTAAAGGAAAATCTACAACAATAGAACCAATGGCATTTGATTGCCCTTATTCTGCTGGTCAAATTATCAATAACAGAATGGAAGGCACTTTACACACCTTCACATCCTAGCATTTATGAGTTGAAAGAGACCTTGCAGATTATCTGAAGCTCACCCCACCACCCTCATCATCCATTTCTGTTTAAATACCTCCAGGATCCTGAATATCACTACCTCTGAATCAGAGATTTCATTGCTTATCAGAAGAGCAAATAAGTAACATTGTATTTGCAATATAATGGGTATATTCTATATATGGATATAAATAATATTATATATGGGGGATAATTATCAAAGCTTGTCTAATTCACTCATCAGAGATTTCACATGCTGTTATAAATTTTATTTAGTCCCAGCAATCATGAACACGCTAGAGCCATGAAGTCAGGGTTGTCTTTCTCCTCAGAGTATTATCTCTCTGTAGACAGTCTTCATTTCAGAAACCAGCATTTTATTCCACTTTTCAATTTGTATATTCCTTTACAGTTTGTTTGTTTTCACCCTGGTAACCCCACTGAGCCTGGCAACAACTCTGTGGCTTCCTCATTTTATTGAAGAGGAAACTGAGGTCAGAGCATCTTGTCCATACCACTAGCCAAGAATCAGAGAAGCTGGGATTGGGGCTCAGGTCTTGGAATTTTGAGAGGGTTTTGTTTTTCTACTATACAATCAATGCCAATGGGGCCAGAGGAGACATGTGACTACTGTGAACTGAGCTTGATGAAGGGAGGCATGAAAATGTCCACAGTAGCAGCTAACAAATAGTGGGCACGGACCACCAGCCAGGCACTACCCTACTGTCCATGCCTTAGCCCACAGTAAATGCTACCACCATCACGTCTAATATCATCTTAGGGTGAGTACTCTGCCAATGGCCCAGTGACTGAAATTAGCTCCCACAAAAGCCCACACTCTAACTGTTCCCCAGGCTACCTCTTCACATGCTCACTCACTCATGTAAGGACCTTACTTTTCCCAACTACTGAGGCACCTGTTTTTGGTAATTTGTTTGTTAAAAAAATTCTCCCCAATATTCAGGTTTTGCTAATTCTTTTAATGTGTAGGCAGCTCTCTTATTTTGCAGCACAGGTCTTCCATCTGTTGCTAATTTCATTTGAGATTGAATTGAATTTCATTTGAAATAATATTGTGGCAGATGAGATTTGAAGGTACAATACACCTAAGGATGAGGGAAAAAGCTAAGAAACACTTGTAAAGGTCACAACCCAAGACATAGACCCACTAAAAAACCGAGATTTAATCATAAGATCATAGAATGCTTCCCCTCGCCCACACTTGATCATCACACCAGGAGGTCTTCAGTATGGTAAGACTGGGTTATAGCTGAAAGAGCTGCAAAATGCAGACTCTCCCTCAGGAAGAGCAGTCAGGGAAGCCCAAAGCCCAGAGGGAGACAAATGCAAGAACACTGAAGAAATATGAAGCCTCTGGCAACTACAGCTACAACAAACATTGACATAGCCCAACTCTTAGCCATATTAACATAAAACTCTACACCAATGATCTGTTTTCTTCAGTTCCTATTACCTGATACATCATGCTTGGCTTTCAACAAAATTTATGAGGCATGCCAAAAAGCAAGAGAAAACACAGTCTGAAGAGACAAAGTAAGCATAGGAACCAGACTCAGATACAACACAGATGTTGGAATTACTGGAGAAGAAATTTACAATAACTATGATTAATATGTTAAGGGTTCTAATAGAGAAAGTAGACAACATGAAAGAGCACATAAGTAAGGTAAGCAGAGAGATGGAAACTCTAAGAAAGAATCAAAAAGAAATGCTACATGGGGCCGGCCCCCTGGCTTAGCAGTTAAGTGCGCGCGCTCCGCTACTGGTGGCCCGGGTTCAGATCCCGGGTACACACCGATGCACCGCTTCTCCAGCCATGCTGAGGCCACCTCCCACATACAGCAACTAGAAGGATGTGCAACTATGACATACAACTATCTACCGGGGTTTTGGGGGAAAAAAGAAGGAGGATTGGCAATAGATGTTAGCTCAGAGTTGGTCTTCCACAGCAAAAAGAGGAGGATTAGCATGGATGTTAGCTCAGGGCTGATCTTCCTCACAAAAAAAAAAAAAGAGAGAGAAATGCTACATGATCTCACTTATATGTGGAATCCAAAAAAGTCAAATGCATAGAAAGCAGAGAGTAGAAGAGTAGTTACCAGGGGCAGGGAGAAGGGGGAAATGGAGAGACGTTGGTCAAAGGGTGCACAGTTGCTCTTATGTAGGATGAATGTCTAGACATCAAATGTACAGCATGAGGACTATAGTTAATAATACTGTATTGAATACTGGAAATTTGCTAAAAGAGTAGATTTCAGGTGCTCTCATCACACACACGAAAAGTGGTAACTGTGAGGAGATGACATGTTAATTAGTTTGACTGCAGTAATAATTACACTATGTATGTGTGTATCATATCTTCATGTTGTAAACTTTAAATATATACAATTTTTATTAAAAAAATTAAATACAACTAAAAATGAAATACTACAAATACAAAATACCATAACAGAAATGAAGAATACCTTTGATGGGTTCATCAGTAGACTGAAAATGTTCAAGGAAGAATCAGTGAGCATGAAGATAGGTCAACAAGAACTCCTAAGTGAAAATGCAAAGAGAGAAAGAAATGGGAAAAAAAAAAAGAACAATACAAGAACTGTGGGACAATTTTATAAAATATAACATATTCATCTTAACTGGAGTATCAGAAAAAGAAAAAAGAGAGAATGAGGTAGAATATTTGAAGTAACAATGGCTGAGAACTTTCCAAGCTTAATGACAGACATTCAGGCCATAGATCCAGGCAGCTCAGAGAATGTTAAGCAAGATAAACGTCAAAAAGAAAAAAAAAAAAATGGCATCAAGGTGTATCATATTCAAATTACAGAAAACCAAGCACAAAGAGAAAATCTTGAAAGAAGCTGGCAGGGGCAGGGTGGTAAGGAACACCTTTTAAAAGAATAAGGATAAGAATTAAAGAAGATTATTCATCAGAAACCATGCAAACAAGAAGAGAGTGGAATGAAATATTCACAAAGTGCTGAAAGACAAAAACATCAACCTAGAATTCTATATCCAGCAAAATTACCCTTCAACACTGAAGGAGAAATAGACACTTTCTCAGATTAAAAAAAAAAAAAAAAAAACCTGAGAAAAT